ACAATATCTTTATTTCGTTAATTTATTTTTATGTGGTTTTGAGGATCCAACTCAGTGCCTCACAATGAGCATATGGTGGAATCTGAGTTTACAAATTCTACTTACATGATTTCTATTACCAAATGTTCTCTTCTGAGAGAGTGATAGACAAGAAACAACAGATCTAAGTAAAGCAGCAAACTTGCCCATCATCCAAGAGGCCCTGCATAGGATAGTATCTGGCTTTGCTAGATGATTCTGCACACATGGCCTAAACTAAAAATAGACTACTAGAGGTAGTCTATTTCAATGCATGAGTAAATGCTGTTAGACCTACTGAAAGAAATCTGGTTTTCACAGTGGTTCCCTCCTGGGGGTTGACACCATATCTCATTAATTCTAAGATGCACATATATTTTCTATTAATAAAAAAAATCAGTGTGAATCACAGAATTGATGATGTGTTAGTCAGCTTCCTGTTACTGTGACAAAATACCTGAGAATAACAACTTAAAGGAGGACAGGTTTATTTGGGCTCCTAGTTTCAGAGGTTTCCGTGCATGACTGGCTGGCTCCATGGCTTTTAGGCCTGTGGTAAGGCAGAAATATCATGGCCCAAGGGCATGGCAGAGGAAAGCTGCTCACCTCTGGGCAGCCAGGAAGCAGAGAGTGAGGAAGGTGTAGGGACAACATATTCCATCAGTGACCCCTTCCTCCGATTAGGCCCCACCTCCACCAGTCTCCATTACCTCCCAACAGCCTGTTAATTATGAATTCATTGGTGAAACCAGCCTTCATGATCCAATCACTCCCCAAAAGCCCCAGATCTGAACATTGCTGTACTGGGGATCAAGCCTTCAACACATAAGCCTTTGGGGGACATTCCAGATCTAAATTATAACTTTGTGTCAGTTGAATAACAGCATTTTTATTTTTTATTGATATATTAAAAATGGTGCTTCTTACAAACAATGGCATCTTAGAATCAGTGAAATGTGGTAATTTTGATCACAGATAATGCCTGCTTAGCCAGCTACCTTAGACCATAATGCCACGTATTATTTTTGTGATTGAATTCTGGGTGGATGATTTCTTTTTTTTTTTCCTTTTTGGTTCAATAACCCAGGGGTTGCTTTACCACTGAGCTACAAAATCCCCAGCCCTTTTTATTTTTTTATTTTGAGACAGGGTCTCCCTACGTTGCTTATAGCCTTGGTAAATTGCTGAGGCTAACATCAAACTTGCAATCCTCCTGCCTCAGCCTTCAGACTCGGGATTACAGGCATGTGCCCAGCCTGCTACTCTTTTTATAATTAAAAATAAAGCCGTATCCACCCTGTTGGGAAACAAACCCCAAAACCTAGACAGTCTTTACCTGTGAGAGGCTCCAAGTTGGGCTGGTAGAGGGCATGAAGCCCTCTGTCGCCTTGAGGGACTCCTCCTGGCTGATCTGGGTCAGGCTGCCCCGCCCTCACCTATACACACCTGGGCTCCTTCGGCAATAGCTTCTGCGGTCCACCCATGGGCAGGCACAAACTCCAGGGCTGCCGTCAGGATGCGGTCCTGCAATTGCTCCTCACTCTCGTGGTCCTCCTCCTCCTCCCCGCTCTGGTCAGTGTATCTGAAATGTGGGAACAGTGCCCAGCACACTTTATCTCACTCTCTATCGCCTGGAGTGCAAAATGGGCCTGACCAGAAGCCATAGGCTCTGGGTCTCCTCTAAGCACATGCTGGCAGGACATTTACTTCTGTTAGCATGAATGTCGCACTGCCAGCACAGTAAACATCCCATCATCCTTCCCCTGACACACAGCCAAAGAAAAGGGACCAAGTGAGTTGAGGTCTCGTGACATGAAGGCAACGTTCCCATAGCACACTGGGCTTCCCTGTTTCCAGCCCTCAGCACACTGTGCTCAGAGTTTCGTTCCCAGTATTTGCAGCAGACTGTAACTCCGTGCCCCCATAAGGTAGAGACAATAGTGTATCATTTATAGGGCTGACACATGGTAGATTCTCAAAAAAATATTTGTTGAATTGAAATGAAAAGATTTTCATTAGGAAACCAGAAAAAGATGAAGAAGAACACTCTAACTTCACATCGAGGAACATTCGATTTTCAATGGTAGGATTAGGAAGAAAAATCAAATCTAGTGGAAAGGTAAATCATTATTATCTTTTTGAAAGGTAATTTGGCCTCACATATGTAAGAAGACTTAAATGTAAATCTCTTTTGACTCAGTGCTCCCATCTTTAAGGAAAGTTGACACAGTTTATCACATAATCTTTCATATAACTAAAGGAAACCTAAATAGTCATCAATTTAGGACAGGTTAAATAGATTTTGGCCCATTCCTTCCTGGAATGTTATACAATCACTAAAATAAACTGTGAGGGGTTATTAAAAGTGTACTGTTGAGCTGGGCATGGTGGCGCACACCTGTAATCCCAGCAGCTTGGGAGGCTGAGGCAAGAGGACTGTTGAGTTCAAAGCCAGCCTCAGCAATTTAGTGAGGTCCTAAGCAACTCAGTAAAACCCTGTCTCTAAATAAAATATAAAAAAAGGGCTGGGGATGTGACTCAGTGGTTAAGTGCCTCGGGATTCAATCCCCAGTACCAAAAAAAAAAAGTTACTGTGGAGTGAAAAAACAGGTTCTGAATAGCATATAGAATGAAATCAATCATTTACTATATACACAGATTTATGAAACATGCTTAGAGAAATACCTGAAGGCAAAAATGTCAGCAGGGTTATCTCTATGTGGGGTTTCAGGTAATTTTTGCAACTTCTCTGTATTGTTCAGATGTTTTAGAAAGCACGGGCACCATCTTTATAAAAACAATAGGTTCTTTTCAAAGACAGCTGACAGAAGGTGAGGAGGGGGATGGACAGGAGCCTGAGCCAGGAAGGGACAGATAGAACCAAGCAGGCAAGGTAGCCACAGACAGGTGGGTTCTGGTGCCTACCTGGGAGGTATGCGAGGAGACTCTACATCGGGTTTTTGTGCCCCTGGTGGCTCAGAATGCTGCTGAGAAAAAGATGGGGGAGGCTGTTGCTTCTGCTCCTCGGAAGACCTGAACCCCAAAGCTGAAGCATGGAAGGCACGTGGCACCAGGAGTGTTTGGCAGCGGGACACTGAAACAGAAACTGGGCTGTCAGGATCTTGCATCAAAGAAGACCCTTTGAAACCTAGAGATGCTAAAAGAATGGGGTTGATGGGCTGGGGATGTGGCTCAAGCGGTAGCACGCTCGCCTGGCATGCGTGCGACCCGGGTTCGATCCTCAGCACCACATACAAACAAAGATGTTGTGTCCACTGAAAACTAAAAAAATAAAATAAATATTAAAAAAAAAAAAAAAAAAAGAATGGGGTTGAGGAAATATAGGGCAGAAACACCTCGACAACCACTTATCCAAGTGTTGGATCACACGCAAAAATCTTGGGTAAAATGGAACCTTGCGACATGATGTGTTGGCAAAAACAGTGAGCCAGGAGGAAAATCCTACCTGGCTTCTGGGCCTGTATCTGCATTTGTCAGCTGTGTGGTAATGGCAAACCATTTCACCTCACTGGACAGATTCCAAAATTTTCCTTTCTGCAAAGTTGTTATTGATTAAAATCTGTCCCAAATCCTTTAATTAGTGTCTGGCTTTGTTTATCTTTGACAGATCTTTTGTTGTTATTGCCTAGTATTATTACATTAGCAAACTATCAAGCCACTGGTGCATGGCACAAGTCCGTAATTCTAGCCACTAAGGAGGCTGGGGCAAGAGGATTACCAGTTTGAGGCCAGCCTGGGAAATGGAGACCAAAAAAACCCCTCCAAATCACTATTGTTTTGTTGATGGATACCTGGGATGATTCAAATTTTGACTGTTATGATTAAATGATTATGCATATACTTGTACAAACCTTTTTGTACACACATGCTTTCAATTCTTTTGGATAAATATCTTAAGGGTAGGTCATAGGCATTACTTTTACTAAACATATTACTAGAAATTTGTATAAAAATGACAAAAAGGCACTCATTAAAAAAATCTATAGAATTCAGGGAACAATGAATTCAAAAGAAACAGAATCAGTATCTCTCCCTCATTCATATATATATCTTAGTGGATAAACAGAAGTATCCATAAAACTTTGAAAAAGAGGAAGATTCCAAAATATGTCGGGAATTACTGCAGCTCATGAGAAAATTTTAGGTGAAATGCCAAAGAATATTTCATTAGCTATATATTTATGTTAATGGGTCAATCCATACTATGTTCTATTTGTGGCAAATGATATCAGTTTTCCATTTATGACAGTGATATAAAGTAAATGTCTATTTTTAGGATACTCAGATGTAGAAATAAAATACTGTGCACATAGCGGCAAAGGTGGTAAAGAGAATGTCACAGAATTAGTGAAGTGCTGGGGAAATGACTGACTTTTAGAAAGCAACAGACTGGACGCTCTCGGTCCAACTGTCCCTCAAGTGATCCGGTCTTGGGATCAAAGGCAATGGACTTGGGAATGGGTCCGCGGCTGACAGTTCTGCAACAGACGAGCGGCGTGATCTGGACTCACTCAACCCTCAGAGGCTCCGCGAACTCCGTGAAATGGGAGTGACAGTCCCTGCCCCGGGGCTCGCGCCCCTAACAGCTGCAAACTGGAGACCGAAGCGGTTAAACGGACCGTTCAAGCTCGAAAAGCTGGCGACTCCGCGCCGATGTCCTTCATCTCACCTTGCTCGCGGGCCGCCACGACGGCCTCTTCCGCCCCCCACCCAGGCCAAGCCGACCTCACTCCCCATCCCAGTTCTTCCCCGCTCCCGGGCTCGGCCGCTCCCTCACCGGGCAAGCACCGCAGCTGTAGGAACCTCCAGCCTGCCTTGCCCAGCACACCCGACGCTGCCGCCGCCGCCGCCATCTTGGGAGCGGGCACGCACGCCGACGACTTGACGTAAAGGGAAACGCCAGGTCGGCTGCGCAGCCGCTCTGCCCTCTTGACACCGCGGAGCCTCCCCCTCTCGCGAGAAGCACGAGACCCGGAGCCGGCGAGCGCTGAGAGCTGGGGAGCCAGCCCTAGCTGTAGGTGAGCGCACTCGGAGCAACCTGAACGCCCGACATTCTCCAACGGCCTCTCCCGCCACCTCCATGACCCACATCCTCCCATTTCCTATTTCCAGCCTCGTGCCCAGGTAGGAATGTAGCCAAGGCCGCCCCGTGGAGAACCCCGGCGGCGGCGGGCTTATGCCTTGGGAAGCAGAGGGCCGAGCCCGGTCCCGGACCTACTGGCCTGGGCTCTTGACGCTGTGGCTCCCTGTCCTTCCTGGGTTGCCTCGTTCGTCGCTCAGCCGCCCCCGGGCACTGATCGCTGAGGTGGGAAGGACCTGAGCTCGGGCGGGGAGACGGAGTCTGAGACCCGGTTCTACCTCTTAGCCAACTGTTGTGACCTTGGGTCCCATTTCTCCGAAGTTTGCGTCTCTGAAGGTGCCAGGCAGCGGAGCGCGAAAGCTTGGGGCTCCATAAGCCAAGAGATGAAATTTGAACCTGTGATTTGTCTGAACCTCTCAAGATATTGAGTCTTCCTCAAACTTGCCAGATAGGACGAATCTTCTAGGATGCTTGTTAAAACGAACACCCCAGTCTTGGTCCTCGAGAGTTGTTATGGTGTCTAGGCGGCAGTCTTGCTTTACCAAGTGCCGAGGGTGGCTTGTAGGATCTGCAAGTTTGGGAGAAGTTGATTGTGTTGCTTCTGGAATTACTAACTGGCCAGGCAATGGCCTGATGGCTCGAGGAGGTCACAGTGTTGTCATTAAAAAATGTAAATGCAGAGCACCTCAGTGGGGAATCATAAGGGTAGGCTAATAGGAAGAAGTAAATGATTTTTGGTTAGGGGTAATTATAGGAGCATGCAATTATGTAAATTTTGTGTTTGCAGATTAGGCCCCATCTTTTTTTTTTTTTTTAATCTGCTTAAATTGTGTTTTGCACGGCCCTTGGCACAGGCCTGTAATCCCAGCGACTGGGGAGGTTGATGCAGGAAATCTCAAGTTCCATACCAGCCTCAGCAATTTAGCAAGGCCCTCTATCAAAAATTAAAGGATTCAGGGTGTAGCTCAGTGGCAAAGGGCCACTGGGTTCAGTCCGAAGTACCCCCCAAATTTAAAAAGTTGTATGTACACACCCAGCAACTAGGTTTTTTTTTTTTTTTTTTTTTTAAATATCTTGCTCTCCCCTGCATGGGTGATGGGGGAAGGGGATGAGACCCCTGGGCCAAAATTCTACAAATTTTAGATCCATATCTCTAAATTTAGGTAAAGGAATACTGATCTCTCTCTGAGGCTTTGTTTCTTTTTGTTTATATTTTGCTCTGTGGGTCCCACTATGTTGCAAGTGATCCTATTTACCTCAGTCTCCAGGTGGATGGGACTGTAGGCCTGTGCTCTGCTGGGCTTTGTTTTCTTTATTTCCTTCTTTTTTTGGCTTTATTTATTTAAATAATTTATGCATGCTAGGGATTGAACCCAGGGGTGTTTAAGCACTGAGCCACATCCCCAGCCCTTTTTTAATATTTTATTTTTGAGATCAGGTCTCGCTGAATTCCTCAGGGCTTCACCAAGTTGTTGAGGCTGGTTTTGAGCTTGAGATTTCTCCTCTCTAGCCTCTGAGATTACAGGCATGTAATCCTTCTTAAGAGGGTCCAAATGCCTCAAGATTTGGATAGTGTAAAAATAAGCAAGTATGTTCTCAGACGTTTGCTTTTATTTCCTGCCGTTTTAGTAAAGCCCTGGATATGTGTGTCAGCAGTCATTTGGAGAGTTATCTAATAAGCAAGGTCAATGATGTGACAATGACTTCTATTCCACTTCTTTAGTTATGAAATGGGCCCTGAGTCAGCTCCTAAGTATGTTGACTGAATTTTTTTTCCTTATCTTTTTTTTTTTTACATATATAAAGATAAATTCACAACAGTAACACAAAGCTTATGAGGAAAAGTATCACACTTCTGTTTTTTAGATATATAAAAGAACACAGTCTCCTATTTTATGCAGAAAACACCAACTGAAAGTAGGATCTATGCCTATTTGTTAATATTTAGTAAATGTATTTTATGATCTCCCTTTTGCTGTAAGACTGTTTTGGGAGATATTTTTACATTTACATTTTTTACATTTTTCTAACTTACTGACAGTCCCACAAGGATACTAAGATGTCATGAAGTGTAACTCTCATACTAACCATGAAAAATAAGCTTCACATACTTCCCTGAGGAGTCCTAGCAAGTATGGCCAAGGAGGAAGAAAAAGGTTTTATAGGACTATCTAAAGCAAAGGCAAATGAACTAAGCCACAGGAGTGGGAGCCTAACGTACTTAGAACTTTTTTCTTTTTCTTTTCTTTTTTTTTTTCTTTTTTTTTTTTTTGGTACCAGGGATTGGACCCAGGTACCACTGAGCCACATTCCCAGCCCCTTTTTAATATTTTATTTAGAGACAGAGTCTTGCTGGGTTGCTTAGGGCCTCGCTAAGTTTTTGAGGCTGGCTTTGAACTTGCGATCCTTCTCCCTTAGCCTCTTGAGCCACTGTGATTACAGGCATGCAGTGCCCAGCTTAGAACATTATTTTATTGAACTCTGTATACCAGACCCTGGTGAGAACTTTGCACATTGTTTCCTTATTTCCCATAGCAGCCTTGCAAAATAGAAGTTACTGTTCTTTATTGATGAGAGATAAACTCAGGAAGGCTAATAACTTACCCATGGCCATGTACCTGATAAGACCCAGTGTAGATAGAACCCCACGGCCTTTATTTCTTTTTTTTTTTTCTTTATGGTGCTGGGGATCCAACCCAGGACCTTGTGTGCGTGCAAAGCAAGCACTCTACCAACTGAGCTACATCCCCAGCCCATATTTCTTATAACTTAACTGCCCAGCAATTTGTATTCTTGTCTTCTCTCACTGGTTCTTTTTTTGTCTTGTTTTGGTTTTTGCCAGTAATCAAAATCTGGACCTTGCACATGCTAGGCAAGTGCTCTATTACTGAGCTTCATTCCCAACCACTCCCAACCACTCTCCCTTACTGGTTCTTTTGTTGTTGTTGTTGTTACTGAGAATTGAACCTAGGAGTACTTAACCACTGAGCCACATCCCCAGCCCTTGCCTCCCAAGTGACTGGGATTACAGGCGTGTGCCACCATGCCCAGCCCCTGGCTGGTTCTTAAGTGTGAAACTGATCCTAAGTTACCATAAAGATTTTGCAAGAACTCTTCTTCAACATCATGTGACAATTAAAAGCTTAAACATTTTAGTTCTCTCTGGTATTCTTTTTAGGGATTTAAAAGCTGAAATTAAATGACTAAGGAATCCTGCCTGTCTGACACTTGGCATCCTTTTACTGACTGGGGTTTATAATCAGATCAGGATAACAAAGGGTTGGTGTTCACATGAAAACACCATAAAAGGCACAATAGAGAGAAAATGCAAACTTTTGGAATGGTAGAGCCAGATTATGAAGAGCCTGAATCCAGCAGGCTAAGCAGTGTTGATTTTGCTCTAGAAATTAAAACCTTTAATAACTCATTTCTGAAATGAGTAATAACATCAAAGCTCTATAGTGTTTAGGGAGGAACTCTGGTTAACATGATTTGTAGACACTGTTGGGTTTTTTATGCCTTTTTTTTTTTTTTTTCTTGGTACTGGGGATTGAACCCAGGGGTGTTTATCATTTCTGGTCCTTTTTTATTTCTTATTTTAAATTCTCACTACATCACACAGGCTGACCTTGAACTTGTGTGCTCAGTCAGCCTCCAGAGTTACTGGGATTATAGGCATGTGCCATTGTGCTTGGCTAGGAGACTATCATTTGAAGTACACACTTTTATTTTTTTATTTATTTAAAAAAATTTTTTTTAGATGTTGATGGACCTTTATTTTATTCATTTATTTATATGTGGTGCTGAGAATCGAACCCACGGCCTCACATGCTAGGCAAGTGCTCTACCACCAAGCCACAACTCCAGCCCCCTGAAGTACACATTTTTAAAGAAGGAATAGTGTAGTGGACAGGGCTTAAATTCAGCCCCAGAATGTCCGTGGTGGCATAATTGTCTCTGAGTCAACCACTTCTGCAGAAGCCAGAAGTGTTCCACATAAGATTAATCCATGCTTGACCTTCTACCACCTATTCTGTTTCATTTATTTGAGCTATTTTAAGTCAAATTTAGTGGCATTAATGTTTAAGTAAGGAGGAGCTGAGCAGCAACTCAGCTCTTGACCTATTTTCATTGTAAACACTGTATATACTTATCTGCATATCAAATGGAGGAGAAAGTTGACCCTTGGAGAGAAATTTCCATAGTTAAAGTACAGGAAATTCCAGCCCTTACTTTATCCACCTAATGCTTACTGGTTGTGTGAATTGTACATAGTTACCTGCCTCAGTTCCTTCTCTCTAAAATGACAGCAGTATTGTAACAGTGATCCAGTTTATGCTTTGAATATAACCCCTGCTGCTCTGCCACTGCAGCTTATTTTTAAAAAAGGATGTGTTACTTTCTCTTCCTTTTCTCCTGCTCCTCCCTAATCTCAGGGGAAATAGGATTATTTTTCTTCCCCCATCCCAGGCAGTTATCTGTCCTTGAGCACACACTCACCATAGAAATGAAGAAATCCAGACTTTGGGGATGGTACCAGAAGACCTCAGAAATGACTGTCTCCCAAATTAACAAGTGAATTACACTCCAGACAGAGAACACTGGCATGTAGCCTTTGAGTCACCTCTTTAAAAGCCCCCTGTTCCTGCTGATGGGCAGAATCACAGCTTCTGGGACAGGAGTCCCTTTGTTTCTCCTTTGCTAGCAAAGCAATAAACATTCTTTTTCCTTTTTCTCAAAACCATGTCATGTTATTGAATTGGCATCAGGGACAATGATTGAGCTTTTGGCAACAGTATCAGTTTAAGGCTGTTCTGAGGTCAGCTGAGATAATATATGTAGTGTTTTGAATAGTCTGGCAATATTAAATGTTAAAGACATAGTTGATACCATTGATTTTATAGATATGAATGAATTGAATTTTTATACTTTGATGAAAAAGAAAATATCGGTTATTTAATTTGTAAAATTTAGTGTATTCTCTTTTTTAGAAATAGTAAGCTGTGGTTGAGTTATATCTCCATTTATTTGCCTTCCTTGCTGAGTCACACTTCTGCCTAATTAATGCCCTTTGTGTTTTATAGTCTCTTCTTGCTGAGTTATCTCAAAAGAAATAATCTTCCTGCTGCCAACTTCTTACTTGAATCTAATCCCCTTTTCTTGACTCTGCCACATCAGGGTTCCCACCTCCTGCCTTGTTGGAGAATAAAGGGATTAGGAAGCCTTGAGGCCATGGGTTCATTTATTCAACTCCAGAATCTACAATAAGCTTTCTGATGATGTCAGCGTTCCTGGGTGGGAGGTTGGGAGTAGGTTGCCATTCTAATGGCGTTTGGGTTAAATTGCACTGCTGTCTCTGCTCAGTCCTGATTCTCTCTTGGCCAGTAGCTTTTAGGTCTGTCAACACATGAGGAATGGCCGATTTTGGGATCTCAGCTGGCCAGGCTGTGGCAGTGGTCTGGGATAAGTCATCCCCTGTGGAGGCTCTGAAAGATCTGGTGGATAAACTTCAAGTGTTAACTGGTGACAAAGGCCAAGTGTCGGTGGAGAACATGAGCCAGCTGTTGCAGTGTAAGTATGTAGCCTGCTGACTTCAGGGCTTCCAGGAGTTTCCACAGGAGTGCTACATGTCTGCAGTTCTGTGACATCCAAGTTTTTTGTTTGGGGTAGTACATGAAAGTAGTGGCCAATCACCTTTTTGTTTTTCACTTGAGATATGTAGTAGCCTTAGGAGTATAGTTGATTTTTATGTGTTCTTTTTCCTTAGTAGCTGTTCCACCTTTTTTTTTTTTTTTACTTTTTACTTTCTGAGCACATGAAAGAATATGAAATTACTGAGTCTGGAGGAGAGCAGGCAGAGCCTCATGCCTGCTTTGCTAGTGATGGTGGTTTAATTGTGCTCACTAGACCGGTAGGGTTTCACTGGCCTGGGCAGGAGGCGGAGCTTCTGTGGGGGCTTGGGAGGGGTTGGGAGGCTGCTTCAGGGTCTCAGGTGATGGCTGACTATCTTCCTTCTTTTCAGCTGCCCACAAGGAATCCAGCTTTGACGTTATCTTGTCAGGTGTAGTCCCAGGAAGTGTGACTCTGCACAGTGCTGAGGTTTTGGCTGAGATGGCCCGGATCCTTAGGCCTGGGGGATGTCTTTTCCTGAAAGAACCAGTAGAGACAGCTGTAGGTAAGGAAATCTTCACTTGAAAAACTAGAGTGGGCGGGTTGATGGGCATGCTTGCTAAGTCTTTCTGAACAAGAGGTGCCATTTTGGAGATCAGTATTCTTGTCGCACAGCCTCTCATCAGGTATAAATTATTGATAAAGACTGAGGAAATAGATCAAAGAAATTCCAAACTTTGGCTGACCCAGTTGGTAATAAAACAGAAGGACACTTAACTACCACCTACAAATGGATGGGTCATTCAGCAGGTGAAAGGTCAAACTTTGGTATGTCTGTAGTGTGGAAAAGAGCACAATAAAAAGGAGTTGACTGATCTGTGTGTCAGTTTGTGTGGCTCAAGAGAAGTGTGCAGAGAGGAAAAGTCAGTCTCAAAAGTCTGTATATTTCTATTAATATTCTTGAAATAGCAAATTATAGCACAGAGAGCACATCTCAGTTTTCCAGGGAGGGAGAAAGTGCATGTGGTTTCCTGTAGGTAAGGAAGGATTTCTTCATATTTTGAGAAATGTTAGCCTGCACGAGATGAGATAAAGGGGTCCACAAACCTCCCTGAACATTTTTCCCCCTAGGAAAATTAAACCCAGGGCCTTACACTTGCTAGGCAAGCATTCCACAACTGAGCCACGTCCCCAGCCCAAATTTAATATATTTTATTATATTTTTTTTATTATTATTGTTATTTCAAAATACAAAGTTATTAGAATAACAACTGGAAGTCTGAGAGTGGTGAGGTAGATTTGAGTCATGTGAAATTAATGGCAGTGTCCAAGAAATAAAAACCTCCTTTTTGCTCAGGGGCGTAGCTGTCAGAGACCTTTAATTATGTATCTGATTTTTAGCATTTTCCCCTGGTCTTTCAATCAAAATGTGAGGATTTACTTAATCAAATAAAATAATAGAAATGAAAGGATTTGGAAATGTATAAAAGTATCCATTACTTTTATGGAACTAGCAGACATTCTTTGCTGGATGACTAAATATAGTGTTTATGACAGAACTTTAATTTTTAAATTAAAATGCTGTTACTGCACTCTGTACACCTTGGACTCTGGGGCTGGGCCTGCTGACTTGCATGGGGAGAGCCTCTAGTATTTTTCCTGCTCTGACCTATTAACTGGGGATTTCCTCTTGGCAGATAAAGATAGCAAAGTGAAGACAGCGTCTAAACTGTGTTCAGCTCTCACTCTCTCTGGTCTTGTGGAAGTAAAAGAGGTATGCATTGTGTAGACAACCTTATTTGCTATGAATTTAAACCTTGGGTGGCCACATTGAGCCTGCTTGTTAGAATAATCAGGGGTCAGTATTGCAGGGAATGAAGAAACGAGTTCAGCCTTTCCATGGGTGGAGATATGTGCTGCCTAAAGGAGAAACGGCAGGCAGCAGAGCTCTTTGAAGAGACTCAGTAGGACCCATGGGGACCACTTGTTCTGGTCGCCCAGGAACTATTTGGTGGTGGTAGCAGTGTGGTGAGGAGAGAAGGTGACCTGCTGCTTCGGATCCATCTCTCAGTGGACACAAATCCTAGGCCTGGGTGAAACTCTGTCTTCTAGACAGCCTGCCACCACTCTGTCAGGCTGGTAAGAGTTGAGGGAATATCATGTTTGAGACCACTCAGCAGAGATGTTCCTGTGCAGCAGGGGTGTTTATATTTCCACACTCCTCTCTGATGCCAACATGGTCTTGGGTGTGGGAGAGGTAAATGTTATCCTGTGCTAGCTTATAGCTGATTTCTTATAGGCCTTAGATTGTTTTGCCATACTTGCTTATTTTTCCTTTTAAGATTTTCCATGTTTGATTTTAAAGTAATGAATGTTCATAAAGATTCAGTTTATACTGAAAAATATAAAATTTGAAAGTGAAATACCAGTCATTGCTCACACTCCCTCCCTCCTCAGAGGAAGCATTTTGTGCATCTGTTCAGAATTTCTCTTTTGTACTTACTACCATATGCATAAACTTCTTTTTTATGTAAATGATGTATGTCAGTGTAGTTTAGTCACTATATTTTTCCCATCTTTAAATATTTTTGACACTTATTCACCTTAGTATGTTTTCCCTTATTTTTGTGAATGATATAACAGTACTCCATGCCACAGATGGACTATGATTTAACCATTCAAAAATTAGTGGACCTAGAGCTGGCACCCTGGCCCGTTTTTTCCTACCTTTACTATCTGCTCTACTTCTCAAGGAATATAGAAAGGATTCCTTTCCTCTTTTCTTCTTTTTTTTTAATATTTTTTTTTTAGTTGTAGATGGACACAATATCTTTATTTATTTATTTTTATGTGTTGCTGAGGATCGAACCCAGTGCCTCACATGTGTGAGGCAGGCGCTCTACCACTGAGCTACAGCCCCAGCCCTCCCCTTTCTCTTTTAGGATATAAATTTCTGCTATCTTCACTGTGAATAGGCTTCTCTGTTATTCAGCAGGACCGTGTCTAATTCATCTTTTTTTTTTTTTTGTTTTTAATTTTTATTTTTTATTGGTTGTTCAAAACATTACAAAGCTCTTGATAATTCATCTTTGTAATCATAATTATTAAACACAAAGACTAGCATAATGCCTTGAACCTAATTTTCATAAGTACTTTAAAACTTTCCAAAGGTAGACTCTCAAAGCAAACATGCCAACAAAACTATAGTTTAGGGTTCTGATCAGTGAACCTGAATGTGTCATGAAAAGTGACGTTAGGCTAGGCATAGTGGGCCATGCCTGTAATCCCCACCACTCAAGAGGCTGAGGCAGGAGGATCACAAGTTCTAGGTAAGCCTCATCAGCTTATTGAGGCCCTAAGCAACTTAGACCAAGTCTCAAAATAAAAAATAAGTTAAAAGGTCTGGGAATGTGGCTCAGTGGTTAAAAGCCTCTGGATTCAGTTCTCAGTACCAAACAAAAAAGATTGATGTTCCCTTCTGCTATTATATACTTAATACACAGGACGAGTGTTTAACCCTGTGTGGATGAACATAGTAAAACGTTTGATAGAAAGTGTGTGGACTAATTCCTTTGATATCTTGAATTCCAGCTGCAGCGGGAGTCCTTGAGCCCTGAGGAGAAGCAGTCTATCCAGGAACATCTGGGCTGCAGCAGTGAGAGCCTGCTCTCTGTTCAGATCACAGGCAAAAAGCCAAACTTTGAAGTGGGTTCTTCCAGTCAGCTTAAACTTTCTACCACCAGAAAGTCTCCTTTGGGTAAGTCTGGCCTGGGTACATTCTTCTGTGTGACTGGGGCAGGGAAACATGTTAGAAATTGGGTGAGCGATCTAAATATTTTTAGAAGATTATTCCTTTAATTTTTGTCATTTCCAGAGCACAGAATGCTCAAATATTTCTATTCTGGGTGTATCAGGATACAGACCTGATATAATACATAAATATTGTCTAGCTCAGCCCCTTCTGCACAGAGGACATTGAGGCTTCCTCATTCCGGAGGCTGGAGTCACGTAGCTAGTCAGTGAAGTCTTTTTAGGCCCCAGAGATATGGGGTATGCTATTTCTCCTCATGGCAATAGCAATAGAGATATGATACCCAGTTTCTGTTCCCACAGCTTTTTTTGTATGCCTATTAAGTCAGCTTTTCTAACTTTGAGGGTCCTATAATACCTTTTTTTTTTTTTTTTTTTTTGGTGCTGGGGATTGAACCCAGGGGTGCGTCACCGCTGAGCTACAGTCTTAGCCCTTTTTTTATTTTGAAAGAGGCTCTAAGTTGCTGAGTGTTTTGCCAAATTGCTGAGGCTGGCCTTAAATTTGTAATCTTCCTACCCCAGCTTCCCAAATTGCTGGCATGTGTCACCATATCCAGCCCTGTCATTATTTTCAATGTCTGAGTTTCTGTCCCAGCTATGAGAAATACAAAATTTGATCGGTATTTACTGGCACATCCGTGTAGCACACTTTTGACTGCCTAGTCTAAATCTTAGGAAATCCTTTGGAATCTGACTTTTGGATTCATAGTTCTAATGGGTGGACACAATTAGACGATGGAAAGTCTGAGCACCTCATTGTAACATCAATCCCTGGGGAGTACGCTTGCCCTAAAAGCCTTTCTGAGATTTTCCCCCTCTCAGTCCCAGGCCTTAGCCCTCTCAGCCCTTCCTTGCCTTCTTCTGACCTAGACAGAGAATCAGGAGGTGTGAGGGGTGTCTGCCAACTGTGATAGCTTGCCACCAATAGCTCTAGTGCATATTTTCTTAAATAGCAGTTTAGGTGAGGTTAGGTTTTGCTATTTATGAATTCTGACAGATTTCTCATTTAATTCTCAAAATAGATAAAGGAAACTCGGTTTAGCTCCATGTTATAGGGGTGGGAACCAAGATAAAAAGGAGAAGCAATGTATTTGTATTTATGACCTCATATAGCAGGCCTAAGTCTAAATCTGTTTTCACAGGTATAAAATTAGGATGACAAAAACCTCACAAGGTTGTGAGCAAAATTGAGTTGATGTATATAAAGTGTTGTTGTAGTGTCTGGAACAAAGGACGTGCTAAACAAATGGCTTCCAAGGTCATGCCTCTTGTATAAGTGGTCAAGCTGGACCCAAACTCTGCTCTTCTCAGAAGAGTCCAGTAGTTCTCTACAGAGTCCATAGAAAGCACTTGAGTGGCCAGGTGCAGTGGTACATGCCTGTAATCCCAGTGACTCAGGAGCCTGAGGCAGGTGGAGCACAAGTTGAAGGCCAGTCTCAGCAACTTAGTGAGGCCCTCAGCTACTCAGTGAGACCCTGTCTCTAAATAAAATACAAAATAGGGCTGGGGATACGGCTCAGTGGTCAAGTGCCCCTGAGTTCAATCCCTGGTCCCCTGCCCCCGTCCTCACCCAAAAAAAGGAAGTGCTCACATCTACGAGTAGTTTGTTGCTGTTTATGGAACTCTTTTTCTTTTATTGGTTGGATTCAGTGAAACCTGCTGTGGACCCTGCCACTGCCAAGCTCTGGACCCTCTCAGCCAATGACATGGAGGACGAGAGCATGGTGAGTTGGCACTATGGTCACTTGGCCTCCTCCTTCCAGGCACCACTTTGGGTGTAAACAATTATAGTTTGGAGTGACCATTCTGGACCTGTAGGTATGAACGTATTCAAAGTCCAGCATTGTGGTTGTGCCTGTCATTGGAGTCTTTGATTTCAAGGGCACTCCCTGTTGGTGGCATTTTAAATTATTTTTTACTATCTCTTTTCCCCACAGATTTTCTTATTCTCATTTATGTGATACATCATACACTTATGTGAACATGTGTAAACCAAAAAAAAGAGTTTGTGAGCTAAAATGTTTTTATTGGCCCTTTTGGACAAGTCACTGTATGTTCACTGTCTTAAAAGCAATACTTTAAGCTGGCTTTGCTGCTGCATGCCTGTAATCCCAGCTACTCAGGAGGCTGAGGCAGGAGGCTGCAAGACCAGCCTCAACAACTTAAGACCATATCTCAAAATCAAAAGGACAAGGGATATAGCTCAGTGGTAGAGCACTCCTGGGTTCAGTCCCCAGTACCAAAAGGAAAAACACCAAAAACAGTCCTTGCAAACATTGATCAGCTCTGTCTATAATAAAGTTCTTTATTTCTGTGCTTCCATGATTAAAGTTAAAGTAATGGTTAGCATGGGTCCTAGTTCACACCTTCATAGAACTTACAGACCCACTGTGTGCTTGTTTACAAAGAATTACACAAATACATGTGTAATCATTTGACTTTGGACTTATGTGGAAAATATTTCACTCCCTTTTTCCCGTGGCTCTTCCTACACTGGACTAAGTGTAACCCTTCTCTCTGCCCTGCCTGCTTCCACCCTTCCTACAAGTGCACGTATTCTCTACGCATTGCTGGCAGTCTTGCAGGAATTTCTCATGTAATTAGTTCCCAATTCCCTTACATCCTGGTGCATTTTTGTGAACAGTTGGCCTCTTGAGTGTGTGGTCTGGTTGAGCATGACGACCAACCCGAGGAGGACAGGGTGAACGGTGCACATTTGCTCTCACAGCCTGTGATTACTTCAACTTTTTATTAGAGAGACCATGTCGGTGTCACTAATTGCTTTGAACATTCCAGGATCTCATTGACTCAGATGAGCTACTGGATCCAGAAGATTTGAAAAAACCAGATCCTGCTTCCCTACGGGCTGCTTCTTGTGGGGAAAGAAAAAAGAGGAAGGCTTGTAAGAACTGGTAAGTGCTGGAGTAAGTTGTCACAGTGTCATACTCTTTAAAACATGCTTACTGTGAAATGCGTATTCTATAAGGCATGTATTAAATAGGTGCATTTTAAAGAATAATGAACACCCATGTATTGATCACCCAGTTTAAGGAAGAGAAATATTTACTGTTACCTCAGCTGCATCTTCTTTCCCACAAGAGGTTACTATTCTCCTGAGTTTGTGTTAATCATTTCTACTTTTTAATTAGGGCATAATTAATTGTATAGAACAATGGGTTCCATTGTGGCATATGTGCATATAACACTTTGATCATATTTACCCATCTGGTTTTTGGTTTTGTCGTTGTTGTTTTGTAGTTGTAGATGGATGGCGTGCCTTTGTTTCATTTTTATGTGGTGCTAAGGATCGAACCCAGTGCCTCACACATGCTAGGCAAATGCTCTGCCACTGAGCCATAACCCCAGCCCCCGAATGTGGGTTTTTTGATAGTTGACCGCCTATGTGTGAAAATCTCCGTGTGATATTGTTGAAAGAACTGAGTAGAAAGCCCACTCTGACTGTAAAGGACAGGTCAGTATTGAGCATGACATGGAGGCTCCCCAGGAAGGTCAGCTGAACAGGGTCTTGGGTCATGGATTATTTGGTGTCAGCCTCTTTAAAAATCTAGAAGAGCCCCTCTGGAAGTGAGGAAGAGTCCTGAGAGAATTGAAGGGAACCGAGGCCACAGTGTGGTGAGCATTGGGCAGGGTTCAGGAGGTGCAGTTAATAATGGGGGTGGGGAGGCTGCTGCAAGCTTGCTGCAGCCCACGCTCTACTTTCGGGAGTGGGTCAAAGCAGAGGTGAGTGTCCTCAGTGGTTCCGGGCCTCAGAGTGTGTGTGTGGCGGGGCGGGAGGGAGTTAAATGTTACCAGCCCATGTTTGAAGTAAGCCAGGGACAGAAACCTGGCTGGCCTCACAGTCACATAACGCTGTGATGGTAGCAGGGAGCATGGGGACGGCAGCCTTCGGCGTGTCTGTCTTCATGTGACTGTCACAGAACTGACATCCTGACCTCCCACTTCACTGTCCTGAGGAGTCCTTCCTGCTCCTGTCCTTCCTCTTTCTTGTTTTTGTTTTGTGTGTGTGTGTGTGTGTCAGTGGAGTGAATTCTTCGGTAGTACTTTTTGAAATCCTACTTAGAAGGTAAGTTTTGCTTAAGACTTTGTATGTATGAAAATGTCTTTTTCCTACTCTTGGATGATTGGTAATTTGGGTATAGAAATGTGGGCTGAAAATTATTATTTAGTTTTGTTGTTTTCTTTCTTCAGATGATTCTGATAAAATATCCCTGGGTTTTTCATGGTTAAGAGTGGCAGGCAAGGGGGCTGGATTTGTGGCTCAGTGGCTGAGCGCTTGCCTCGCATGCGTGGGGCACTGGGTTTGAACATCAGCACCACGTAAAAAAGATAAATAAATAAAGATATTGTGTCCATTTACAACTAAAACAATATTTTTTAAAAAATGGTGGGCAAGAGCTAGCTGGCTGCTCTGAGCCTGTAGGTGGATTTTGTATATATTGTAGTTGGTACAGTATATTTATTTCTATGTGGTGCTGAGGAAGGAACCCAGTACCGCACACGTGCCAGGCAAGTGCTCTACCACTCAGCCCCAGCCCCTGTAGGTGAATTTTATGAAGGGAAGCCAGGCAGGCCTTTGGGGGGACAGTCCAAACTCTTTATCTTTGAACCTTTCCCCTTTTAACCCTCTCAGGAGGATCTTCTTGGCACCACCCCCCTCACCCCCACCCACCCCCGCTCTGAAGGCAGTGCGAGATCTGCCAGGGCAGTGCCCTCTTCCTCTCTGCTTTGGTTTCCAGCTGCATCACAGTTGTCTCCTTTCCAGTTTTCTGTCATTGTGGCTCTAGTCTTTGCTGAAGTTTGGTGGGGTCGGAAGGAGAGTGAAACTGGGGTACCTGCTTCAGTGCATCTTCTGAACCTGCAAGCCTTGGTGTTGGTATTTTACAAGTAAATAGAACGGTGGTGAAACTCTTGGACTGTTGGCTGCAGGCTTTTTGAATTGTCAGTGATGTTTTGCTTTAAGTGTACAAGTTGCTTGTCACTTAAGAGTGAAGTAGAACTCCAGACTTTTCCCCTCTTGGATCTGCTTTGCACCATGATGGGCAGGCTGAGCAGTGGCGCCCTCTGTAGCAGGTGCTCCCCAGCACAGCCCCACCCACCTCCTGCTTCCCACCACCTCTCTCCCAGCAGCCCCCTGCCTGTGGCTGCTGTCTGCCTGACCTTGCAGGCATTTGAGTCGAAACCCTGGTAATGAGGAAAGTCTTTGAGCACATTTTGGTACTGTTATGGATTTGGACTTCCTGGATGGTGGCATATCTCATTCATCAGCAACTGTTTTCCCCTAGCACCTGTGGCCTTGCAGAAGAACTAGAAAAAGAGAAGTTACAGGAACAGAAGAATGCCCAGCCCAAGTCAGCCTGTGGAAACGTAAATATCGGGATCGTTACTCAGCATTTGCAAAACCCCCAGTGGTATCAGGCATCACCCTAAACTAAGCACAGACTGGCTCCACCTCTAAAGGATCACCTGTCAAGTGCTCTAGTACTGGGCCAGCATGGAAAGACGTGCGTGTTAGGTGGTTGTGGGAAGAGGCTGTCTCCCTACATGCTCACACATGGGGAGGACTCTGGTCACTTCTTACTTGGCATCCCTAGTCCTATTTACTTATTTATTTAAATTTGAGATAAGGTCTTACTAAGTTGCTGGGGCTGACCTCTAATTTTTGATCTTTCTCAGCTTCCCAAGTCACTGGGGTTATAGGTGTATACCTCCAGGCCCGGCTTGGCCCCTTTCTTTCTACAAGTCCACTCAGAGTGGGACTTGATGTTGTTCAGCCCTAGGGCTGAGCTTGGCTATGACTTGAACTGCTTAGAACATAGACATGTGGCTGGGCCTCGTGGCGCACACCTGTAATCCCAGCAACTCAGGAGGCTGAGGTAGGAGAATCGTAAATTCAGAGCCAACCTCAGCAACTTAGAGAGTCCCTAAACAATTTAGCAAGATCCTCTCTCAAAATAAAAAATAAAAATGGCTGGGGATGTGGCTCAGTGGTTGAGCACCCCTGTGTTCAATCCTAGTACAAAAAAAAAACTATAGCCATGACCTGTGAAAGGGTACTTAACTTAGCTATTATTTTTCATGCAACTAGAGATCTTAAAAATTACTAGTATTTGGGTCCCAGTCCCTCCTCCTGGCCCGCATCTCTGGGGTGAGCTGGCTCTTGGGTTCCCCTGCATGATTGCCTGTTCTCTCCTGACAGTGCTACCTGGGAGATGCGTTCCGCTGTGCCAGCTGCCCCTACCTTGGGATGCCAGCCTTCAAACCTGGCGAGAAGGTGCTGCTGAGTGATGGCAATCTTCACGATGCCTAGGAGGACCCATGGGACACATCTGCTCCTCCACCACCTCCTGTCCCTCAGATCCCACCACTGTGGCTCCTCCCACCTCCTTGGACTCTCTGGCTCTCCGTTGGAAATCCCTTTTCAGGGAGGGTGCTTGTAGACAGGGAAGCTGGCTGTGGGTGCAGTGGTGTGTAGTGCTGCTGTTTGTGTGCAAAGACCCAGGCTTGGTTGCCTGGCTTCCTGCAGGGGGGGGGCCTCTTTCCTCATCTAGTGTTAGGAGAAGGGAGCATGCCCAGAAGAGGCCCCCCTCCTGGTGTTACAGAAGCACTGACCAGACACTCTCGAGCCCAGACATCCTTGAGTGTCTGTGCTCTGGGACGAGCTCCAGGCCCTGCCCGTCCTAAGCTCAGTTACCCTGCCACGTACCTGTCTTCCCAAGTTGGTGGTTAACTTGATGTGCAGTTTTTAGTGACGAGTCAACTGTCTCATGTCTCAACACCAAAGGAGTCACTCACAGGTTACTGTGATCCCATCCCATGTCTCTCTACCCCTTCCCGCCCCCTCACTTTAGTGTTGCATCTGTGTCCCGTGTCATTTCTGTTCCTCTATAGGTATTAAACTTGCATACTTCTGTGTATCCATTGTAAAGAGAGACTCTGTATGTGTGTGTGATATCTGTCACAGACATCCAGTCAGTAGGGACCATGAAACTGTCTTTCTGGAGGAACTTAGTGTCTCCCCACAAATAGGGCCAGTGCTGTACTATAGTATAGCCTCTCTCCTCTACTGTGGAAGAGTCCAGGTTAGTAAGAATTTGGAGAGAAGTAGGAGAGCACTCTAAACCAACTGAAGTCTCTGAGCAAGAGACCCCTTTATTCTCCTCATGACCCAACCACAGAGATCTGGGAATCCATCTTGCCACATATTTGAAGAGATTGTGTGGATTTCAAAAGTGTTGATTCTCTCAGTTTGCTTTTGCTTACCCTGGTCCACACTGCTGGAGTTATGGCTGTGACTAAATTCTAGCTGGATTCCAAATCCTTTGTGGGAGGCAGAGTTTGGAGACAACCATTGGCCCCTGCCCTGTGTGACCTTGAGTTTGAGCAAGACCTGTGAATGCACTAGAATCTCCCTTCTGGGATTAGGTGAGGTTCTGTGGCAAAAGTAAAAGGATTTTGCAGAGATACTTAAAATCCTGATGGATTTAACGAAAAGGAAGATTATCCTGAATGAGCCTGCCCACAGTTGATCCTTTAAAAGAACTTAGAGAAGGAAGAGCTTGCCTTACCCGCCTTGTAGGGATCAGCACGACAGTGTGAGAGGCCCTTGGGGCAAGAAACTCCTAGTGCAGACAAGTCCCTAGCACACAGTCCTCGTGAAAATGGGGACCTCGGTCCTTTGGAAGAACTGGAGTTCCAGGTGAGAGCACAGCCTGCGATGCCCTGATAGCAGCCTTCTGTGCCTGGACCTCAGACAGAGACTGGGAACAGGGCTGGGAGGTAGCTCAGTGGCAGAGCACCTGCCTGCAATGCGCGAGGCCCTGGTTCCCTCCCTAGCCCTGCAAAGTAAAACGGATGCTTGTTTGATGCTGGAGAAGTTGAATGAGAAGAAGATAATAAACAGGTGTGTTAAGCAGCTATGTGTGGTGATTTATTTACACAGCATCAAGAAACTAACATTGATGTGTTGATCAAGCTACAGAGCCATCATTGTCGCTTCTGCTGCAATTGCCAAGACAGACATCTCAACCTCCAGGTTGAGGACAAGATCCTAAGCCAAAGAGCTTCTTAGGATGGGTTGAGCAAATCTGTCAGGGAGACCGGTGTCCACGGGGCCCAGCAGGGAGCCAGCTCAGCCGGGACCAAGAGTGACCAGAGAGGCCTTGTCTTTGAACAGTGCACATCTGGGCCTCGAAGCCTGGCTGCAGCTCTGCCCTGTGAGGGGACAGAGAAGGGGACTCTGACTTTGGAAGACCACAATTTTGAGGGCAGGTTTTGACCTATTTCAAGCTCACAATATTGAAGGCAAAAAGTGGTCTCAGATGATCACCAAATTAATCCGTTTGCATTTGAGGAAACAGACCAGAAGGGTGACCTGCTGCCACCAATCACCTGATGACCCTTTAAAGTCTTTGGCTCAGAATCTGCTGGTGTGCATTTAGAATTCTTGTCCCCCTTCTGAAATATTCAAAAGCAGCAGGTGGGATGGGCAGCGAGGGTGAGCGAGCTGTGTCTTCCTTAGGGTGAGGGGCAGCCAAGGGTCCGAAGGGCTTCGAAGTGTGGAGGAAGAAAAGGGGAATCGCAGACCTGCTCCAGTGAGGCGCCCTTGGGTTGCAGGATTACGCCTGGTTGTAGGTGGCGTCCAGCAGGGCAGAGGGGAGAATCCCCGCTTCTGGAAGCACCTTGGCTGTTGGGCTGGAGGAGAGGGGGAGTTCCGGGGGACAGTGGGACAGCCTTACAGCTGCCCACCTCTGTTGGGAAGGGGGAGGGGTGAGGTTGTAGCCAGGTGGGAACACACTGCTGGTTGGGATCACTTGGGCATTCGTCGATGGCTGCATATTAGAACCACCTGAGTAGTTTTCAAAACCACCTGTGCCTGGGTTTCCCTTCCAAAGACCAATCACATCAGATTCTGGGAGCAGGGCCGACAGGCAGCAGTGTTTTTGCAAAGCTTTCCCGGGGATTCTAAAGTGCCTCCAGGGGGCTGGGGTTGTGGTTCAGTGGTAGAGCGCTCGCCTAGCACATGCAAGGCCCTGGGTTTGATCCTCAGCACCACATGTAAATAAATAAAATAAAGGTATTGTGTCCAACTACAACTAAAAAATAAAGTGCATCCAGGGCTGAGAACCGCCACCCTAGAAAAATTCATTCACACATGCACCAGAAGATAAGCTAAAAATATCCAAAGCAGCAATATTTGTAAGAAGAACCTGGACAACCCAAGCAGATATTTTTTTAATATTTATTTTTTAATTGTACACAATACCTTTATTTATTCATTTTTATGTGGTGCTGAGGATCAAACCCAGGGCCTGGCATGTGCTAGGCGAGTGCTCTACCACTGAGTCACAACCCCAGCCCCCACAAGTGGATATTAACAAGAAAATGGCTGAGTTTTGTGGCCTCATGGGACACTCAAGCGGTGGTGGGCTCCAGCTGTGCACACCTGTGTGCAAGCCCCAGAACATGGAGCAGCAAGAGCAGAGCACAGAAATATGTGTGGACTGCATTATCATGTATATGAAGTTGAGAAGGTCAAAACATTGAAGGCGCAGCAGTGGTCATCAAGGACACAGGCTTACTCAAAACACACACAGGTACAAAATGGAAGCTCAAGGAGATGGGCAAACACAAGGTTCAGGACTACAGTTGGTTCTGGAGGGAGATGGGAGCGGGAAATGGGCCTTCCGAGTAGCAGGAAGGTCTTCGTTTTGTTTGGGGCTGGAGAGGGAACCCAGGGCTTCACACATGCTAAGCACTTGCCCTGCCCCTGAGCTGCACCCCAGCCCTTGACGCTTCTGTTCAGCTGGGTGGTAGACCATGTTAGTTATTGGCTTGTATGTCTTACACACGGATTATGGGTTCTGTTTGCTTATTTGTTTTTTGTGGTACTGGGGATTGAACCCAACATTGCTCTGCCACTGAGCTACATCCCCAGCCCTTTTTAATTTTTATATTGAGACAGGGTCTCACTGAGTCACTGAGGCTGAATTTGAACATGTGATCCTCCTGCCTAGGCCTCCCAAGGAGCTAGAATTGCAGGCATGTGCTACCACGCTGGCCTTACACATACATTATGTGTTATGCTCGAATTCGGGACCCCCAAAAGACCACCAGAGACCAAGATCAATGTAAACAGCAAAGAGGTGTTTATTTTGAGCTAGCTCAGTCCTCTGCGAGCACACAGCAACTGGTGACGCTGAGAGGCCCGAGCCCAGGGTTTGCAGCAGTTTTATACATTCTTTGGAGAAGGCAGGGATCCCCACATACATCATAGCATCTCTTAGCAAATCATCACACACTGCAGGAAAATCAAATAACAACTCTAAAAAATGATTAGCACATTCACTGGCGGGAACAAGTTGGGTAGGGGTGGTTACTACAAGAGGGGGATTCATTTGAACTGATTGGTTTAAGCCAAGAGGGGTGTTCGTGCTGAACTACATGGTTTCCCAACACCATAAACTACTGGGAGGGTCATCTGGCATCCCAGGTATTTCCCTGTCTCATGCTGATTGGTGGCTGCTAGGGGATTGCTATGGGTCCCCACTTAGCCTGACTGAGTCAGGGACACCTGGTGCAGCAGATCTTTCCTGTTATTTGTAGATAAACAACTGGGTGGGAATGTGCCTAGGAGTGCTCTGTGGGTCTTTCCAAGGACAAAGGTCATGTCCCTTCCTTGGACAGGCTTTGCTCTGAGGTAGAGGCTGGTTTTTCATTGTATGTTATATTTATAGAAAACTTAATTAAAAAAAAATAGGAAAACATAAAACTCAGTTTTAAGGAAAATGTCCATGAGCTAAAACAAAGTCCCATGCCTCCCAACATGAACCTACAGGGACTATTTGGTGCAGTTATAATCCCATTGAATATTTAAAAAGTGGAGCCAGCACAGAATCCATGTAAAGACACCACATGATCATGGTAATAATGACAACAGTCCCCAAGGGAGGGGCTGGGGTGTCACTCAGCCTTAGATAGTAGAGCACTTGCTGAGCATGTGCCAGGCCTGGGTTCCATCCCCAGCACCGCCAAACCAAAATAAATAAATAAATAAAAGGAAAACCAAGAGAGAATGTCACCACACAAAAGCAAATGAACACTATGACAAAAAAAAAAAAAAAAACTTTAAAAGAAAATATATATACATTTTTTGGTACCAGAGATTGAACCCAGGGGTGCTTAACCACTGAGCCCTTTTATTTTTTTAATTCTTTTTTAGTTGTAGATGGACACAATACCTTTATTTGGTGCTTAGGATTGAACCCAGTTCCTTACACGTGCAAGGCAAGCACTCTACCACTGAGCCACAACCCCAGCCCATCCCCAACCCATTTTATATTTTATTTAGAGACAGGATCTCACAGAGTTGCTCAGGCCTCCCTAAATTGCTGAGGCTGGCTCTGAACTCGAGATCCTCCTGCTTCAGCCTCCCGGGCTTCTGGGATTTCAGGCGTGCACCACCACACCCAGCAAGACCAAGTTTTGTAGACATTACACAAAGACATAAAACATGGTGGAGAGACACAAGAGCTCAAGGAAATGGCAAGACAGAAGGATGTGTGATGAGGATGAACCAGCAGATCTGAGTCAAGAAGTGAAAAAACATGAGTCCCAAACATGAGGCCAATGTTGGAAACATCGCCAGGGAAGAACGGGCAGTGCTGAGAAGTGGCAGGAAGACAGGAAGAGAAAATACACCTAAATTACAGGTAGGAGCGCACCCCATGATACCCCATGAGCACACAGGATTTTTATGTGTCAATTAAAAAATAAATATAAAAAAGATTTGGAAATCATGAAAAATAAGAACTGAAGAAATAGAAAAAAAAAAGAAAATTAGCCAAAATGAAACATAAATAAAGAGGGAAAATGATCAGTTGAGAAAATGACTAGACACTGAAGACAAAAAAAATAATAATAATAATGTATCAGAGTAATTATTTAAAGACCATCTGAGAAAATTTTTCAGAAATAGGAGTTGCTGTATAGCTTGCAGGAAAAAGTGGCACAGGGTGTTTGTCCCCTGCTGAACATAACAGTTTTATTCCTGGGCTGGGGATGTGGTTCAAGCGATAGCGTGCTCGCCTGGCATGCGTGTGGCCCGGGTTCGATCCTCAGCACCACATTCAAACAAAGATGTTGTGTCTGCCAAAAAATAAATATAAAAATATTAAAAAATTCTCTCTCTCTCTCTTAAAAAAAAAAGAAAAAGTTTTATTCCATGTAATATATAGTGGCTGAGACCTGTGTGACCGAGGTCTGTGTGTGTCCCAAGAGTCTTCATTAATTCTCAAATCCCCTCCTCACTCAGAGGGTGGGACACTATCAATAAATGAGTGGAACAAAAATTTTTTATGAGTCTATAATTTTCTGGTTTGTACCTGTTGTCTTAACCTCTTTGTCCCCAAAGACTTTGTTTGCATCCTTGGCTGTTTGGTCACAGTGGCTGAGGAAGACGGGCTGCAGTGGGATGGGGCACAGCTCTCCTGGAGTCCTGCTGCCTCCAGGGGCAGAAGCCCCTCTCAGCCCTTAGTGACCTCAGGTACAGCCTTCCGTGCTCACAGTGCCCAATGCCCTGGCCACCCACCACCTGGCACCAGCCTTGACCTCTGCAGGACTGTGATGGCCTGAAACCTCACTGGGCTTCTGCTGGGCTCCAGAAACCCCAGAAGCCCCTCTTCTCTTCTTCCTTCCCCTCCTGCCTACCCACTCCTCTTTTTTCCCTCTAGGATTCCTTAAACTTATTTTTTCTTTTAAATGATGAAAAGTTTCAATGCCAGAGAAATGCAGATACAAACGACACTGGATTTGCTGTATGGATCCAGATCTCTCTTTAGACATAAGTGTGTAGCTGGGACTCCGCCATCCCCGGCCTTCCGTTGTCTGCTCCCCCAGAAGAGCTCTGAATGCAGAAGCCAACGGGTGTCACATCCAAGCCTCTTTTACACCTCTACCTGTAAGAGCTTCTACTGAATGTGTCCTTTTTTAAAGTTGAAATTCACATAAAACTAACCATTTAAAAAGAACAATTCAGTGGCATTCAGCACGTTCACAACGTTGTGCAAACAATACTTCCCCACGTTTTCATCTCTCCAAGAGTAAACCCCATGCCCACTACACAGATGTGACCACCTCGCGGCTTCTCAGTGCCCAGGCCCCTTTGTTTGGCTGAGTGTTACATCCTGGTACCACCGCTGTGGCTTTGGAGGAGGGTGTGGCGGGGGGACTGCAGGGTTCCCAAGGTGGTGGTCCCCTAAGTGTAACGTGAGAGGCAGAAGAGCAGCCGACTAGGCACTGATTCCCTTTGATGGCACATCTTTAAACAGGCCATGAAGGTCCAAGTTCATTGTCCCAGGCAGGGAGGCCAATGTGGGAAGGTGCCTGAGCCAGTCAGAGCAGGGTAAGGACTGGAAACAGGGCCCTGACCCCTTGTGTTAAAATGAGTCTGTGGGACGTTGATCTATGAGGGAATTGGGTGTCAATACAAGGCCAACATGGGAAGAAGAATTGATTACGTACATTTTCCAAGAGAAGAGGGCATGCGTCACCACGCAGGGCCACGCGGGGACACACTGAGTCTGGCCAGGAGGCCACAGGAGCCAGAGGAAGGCCTGGGTCGCTGTCTGTGTGGTGCCTCCAGGGGAAAGGCAAGGCAGGGCAGGAAGGAGCTTAGGACTGGGGGCTTGAGTGGTTCCAGAGGGCCCTGGGCCATGGGCTATCCCTAGCCTGGGGGACTTAGAGATAAGAAACTTTGATAAAGGAGATGTTGGGGGTCTGGAGTCAGGATTAGTTGGAGGGTTTATGATTTTTTTTTTCTTTGAGGCATACCCTTGCTATGTTGGCCAGACTAGCCTTGAACCTCTGGGCTCAAGTGATCATCCTGCTTCAGCCCCCGCAGTAGCTGGAACTGCACCCGGCTATAATTTTGGACACCCATGAAAGCTGTCAGTATAAACCACCTTAGCCATTCATGTGACCTTGGATGAACTAATGCCAACTAGGCAAATTATTCTAAGAAAACACACCCCTGCCCAGGGCTCTGGGCTCTGCTCTAGGCTTTTCTGAAGTCAGTGGCCCAATAAGACCCAGGAACCTTATCCCCCTCTTCCTCTCTATCCAGCTAACCCCAGGCGGTGCATTTGGTGGTTTCCTTTCTTCTGCTCCCTCGGGAGAAAAGCCAGCCAACTACTGACCTCTGGCACCCAGGCCTTGTGCTGCTGCAATCAGAAGTCCCCCTGGGGACAGCCCTGAGGCAGGAGCCTGGACCTCACACAGACGCAACCTCCCAACTTTATTGTGGGGCTGGAGCGCCCTCTGTGGGGAGCCTAGGGAACAACGCATTTTAGTTTCCACCGCTTACTGAGTGGGACAGTTCAAACCAAGTAGTTAGGGCTCTGGGAGAAATTTCTCTTTCCCCACTAGTGCCCTTCGCGGAATTCACCCAGGTGCTGTTGATGAAAATGTATAAATCAAACGTCCACTGTGCACAGAGTACCCCTCCGACTTACAAACAAGTCACGTACTGACCCAAATACCTGCTGCAATGAGCTTATTGGGTGAACCCAATTCCCAAGCTGCTAAGGTGATGAGCAGCATGTGGCCAAGATCAGACAGATCAAACAAGGGGGCTGGAGGAGTGGGAGGGGCATAGGCAACCAAGGAGACCAGGGAGGGCTTCCTGGAGAAGACGGCATCTGCACTGAGCTCTGACGGGGAGCTGGATTTCAGAAGGAGAGGGACTGTGCCTTCCCCACTGTTCCTCAGTCTCTGCCTGTCCCTCCCTTCTGCTCACCAACCACGGGAGTCACCAAGTCCCAGTTCCTCAAAATGCCTCAGAGGAACAAGGTAGCATCTTTCCCCACCCACCGTATGCCCTAGACTGCTACTGAGCACTTGGGATTGGAACCCTGCACTTTGCTGCCTGTCCTGGCTCCACCTCTTCCCTGCCCAGTGACCTTGAAGCAACGCCTTGCTCACTCACTTTCAAGGGTCCCCTCTCCCACAGCCTCCAGCAGCTCTCTAGTTCACCTTGGGGGTTTGAGAATCTTGATTCTTTTGAGAAAAGTTTGCAATGCTGAGATCCTGGCTCTGGCTTGCAGGGGTCCAGGCCTTAGCCTTGCCCTCCATGCTGATTTAGGGGATCCTCCTTGCCTTCCCTCTTTTTTAGATTATTCCCCCATTCCGTGGCCATAAGGGGGCAGCAGGGAGCAAGCAAACACACACACACACACAAAACCAAACAACAACAAAAAACCAAATAAACAAACAAAAACCTCCTGATAGCAGCCGGGCCAAACATCGCCTGTCCTAGGGAGAGGAATATGCAACGCTTCTGTCCCCTCACGAGGTCCCAGACAGAGAAGCTGGCTGGGTGAGTGGTAAAACCGGAATGCAGAGACCCTAACTCTTTTCCTTCCTTCCCACGGTGTCCCAGTCTTGAGCTGGGCCTGGGCAGAGGGGCCTGGGGGTGGGGTGACCAGAGGCTCCTGTGCCCATCTCATCCTTAAGAATACACGTGGGTTCCCAGAGTGGCTCCTGCTCCTGCTGTAATGCAGGAGTTGAGACTGACAGGCACACAGGGGCATCACTGGGAGAGCGACCCTGCACCAGGGGCGGCGCCACAGCAGCCCCTGGGAGCTGGAGGGGATCCAGAGGGCGTGAGGTTGGGGCAGCGGCTCTGCTCGGACTGGGCTGCGCTGAGTGGGGCGGGGGTGGGGTCCGCTGGAGTCGGGAGGAACTGTGGGTCCCTGGGCCAGCCTGCCTGGGGACTGGAGGGGGTGGTGGTGAAGTGGAGCAGGAGGGGCTGGGGCTGCAGTTTGAGAGGGGAGGGCAGGCAGGGCGCTGGCCGTGCGGATCTCCCAGGGCTCGCGGGTGCAGTGGGCGCCGGGGGCTGAGCGGTAGGGGCGACGGGGCCAGAGCTGCCGGAACTGCCCTCCCTGTCCCCTCGCGCCAGGGAGCTCCCGGCACTTGCAGGAGAATCCCATGCGGAACGAGAAGCCCCAGCTCAGCGCCGCGTGTGGCCAGACAGCGGCTGGCTAGAGGGGGCGACTGGGAGACTCGGGGGCACAGAAGACGGGAAAGAATCCCCCCGAGCCTGCCCAGGACCCCCACCTGCCGGCACATACAGCAGACAAGAGGGACAGCCAGGGGCTGGGGCTGTCCTCCCGGCCACCCGCGCCCTGCTCCGCCCACACCTGCCGCCCCGCCCTCCCAGGTCCTCCCCTCGCCTCTGCTTGGTCTGCAGCGGCCACGCCCCCGTCGGCCTCCGTTTCCCTTTGTGACCTGGGCAGGCCGGGGCCCAGGGTCCTCTGAGGACCCTCGCTCAGTGAAGGCAGGAGTGGAAGTGTGGGCTGTGCGGTGGGGACAGAAGACACTGACCCAGGCTGGGGAGGAGACTTTATTCAGGGCTTTCATGCCCGCGGCTTCAGTCCAGCAAAGGAGCCAGGGTCCCCTGACTCCTCCCCTTTGTCCTTGTGAGGCCTCCTGGGCCCGGGGCTCCGGGTTGGGGTGGTGAACTCCCACACTGGAAGTCTCCAAATGGTCCGGAGGAAATCAGGGCTTCTGGGTGATGGGGCCAGGTGACTTCACAAGTCTCTGCAAGAGTCTAACTGCCTTCTTCACGTGCCTGTCCTTGGGGTCCGAACAGATGGACTTGCCCTGGGTGGTGACAAGCCTGCAGGGAGGGGAAGCCACAGGCTCAGTGGTCTCCACACTCTCAGGACCCCACCTCGGTCACAGCCCTCCCGGGGAGCCAGGGCTGCAGGACCTGGCGCCCACCCCTCAGACCACCTGTGCTCAGACCCCCTAGAGCCTGGGAAGCAGAGGAAGGGCCTGGGGCTCAGCTGTCCCCACCAGCTCAGGGTCAGGACAGGGAAGGACTGCATGGCCACTGACTGGCCCCTCAGACAGGCTGTGCCGCTGCCCCTGGGGCAGGCTGCTGGTCGACGGGAGGAAGGGCGCCCTCTCCTCCTTGCTCCCTGGCCATCCCTGGAGCGCCAGCAGCCCGCCACCTGCTCCCATGCACAGTCCCAGGAGCAGCAGTGGGCAGAGGGGACTTACACAATGGCATCCTTGGGACACTCGGCTGAGGTTCTGTACCAGGTCACCAGCTTTCTGATGGGAATGGCCCCCGTGAAGAACTCCATGCAGCACTCCCGGCCCACGTTGGTGGCTCGAGCTAGGGAGACAGCAGGAGCCAGGGTGACCCCAGGGTCTGGCAGGGGGTCCGCACATGGTGACTGCATACGTGTCCCCGTGCCTCTGTCTGGGTTGGGTCCATGTTCGTGGGTCCGGGGGCACCTTGTCCCTAGTGTGTGTGCACCTGTGAGGCCTCGTGTGCCGTGGGGGGTCTGGTATATGTGTGTATCTCTTTATCTGTGTGTATCTCTGTGTGCACCTGTGTGTGTCTCTACCTAGCGACCTTTATTTCAGCTTTCTCAACTGAATATTTTATAGTTTACAAGATATCATTATTATAAAAATATTTTACATCTTCTCGTGTTCTTGGAAACAATTCTGCTGTCTCTATGCTGTTTCCCTCATTGTACATGAAACCCACCAATAAAGCAGACAGCTTAGAGGATGATCCTCTCTGCACTGTAACGCACAGCCCAGCCCGGTCCTCCTGGCCACTGCAGCTGAGATGCCTGCCCCTTCCCAGGCCACCTGTGCCCTGCTCTCACCTGCATGGATGCTCTGCAGAGAAGCCCCGAGGAGGAGGGCGGCCAGCAGCAGGGTCTTCAGGGGCGACATGGTGCCAGGAGCCCAGGAGAAGGTCTGGTGCCTGTCTCAGGGGAGATTGGGTGAGAGCCAAGCATGCAAGTGACCTATTTAACCTCTTTGGGGGTCTTGCCCCGCCTCCTGCTGCCTGCCTCCACACCCTTCCTAGACCAGGGTAATTCAAAGAATTGGAGATGATTCAGTAGAAGTCCAGTCTTGGAATGTTTGTGGCTTTCCAGAGAATGGACATTCAAATGGGGACAGAGGTGGGGTACATGTGTCCGGGGGCTAGAGCAGTGACACACTTCTCCTTTCAAAGAGGACATTTCTTGGTTCCTCTATCAGCAGAGCCAAGAGGCTGGGCTTGCTCCTGCCCCGTCTGCACGGGTGGTGTTAGATGGGCTCTCTAGAGGAACAGCCACAGTATCCATCGACATAGAAATACATCTGTATGTATATACGCACACACACTCAGAAGAGAATAAAAAGAGCTTACATGGGCAGCAGCTGGACAGTCCACAATGGCCGCCCACAGGCTGGAGAGGTGGAGGGAGCAGCAGCTGCTCAGTCGAAGGAGCTGGAGCCTCAGAACCAGGGGGGACCAAGGATGCAGCCGGAGTCCAGGACCGAAGGCCTGGAAACTCCCTGGGGGGGTCGCTGGTCAGAGTCTGCTTTGGAAGGTGAGCGAGCTGGAGACTGCAGTCCTCAGGTGACCGCAGCAGCCACCAAGCACCTGCTCAAGAAGAACGGAGCTTGTGTCTGCACCTGCTTCCTAGTTCTTCTAACATTTTGTTCCTTCAAGGTCCCTACCTGTTGGTCGGTGCTGCCCACACTTAGGGAGGGTCTGTCCCTCAGTTTGGTGTCCCACATGCCAATCATTCCTAGAAACACACCAACACGTCCAGAAGCCTCCTAAACTTAGGCCTCTCTCTCTCTCTCTCTCTCTCTCTCTCTCTCTCTGGTACCAAGGATTGAACCCAGGGGCATTTGACCACTGAACTACATCCCCAGCCCTTTTTAATATTTTATTTAGAGATGGGATCTCACCAGTTTGTTTAAGGCCTCACTAAGTTGCTGAGGTTGACTTCAAACTCATGATCCTCCTGCCTCAGCCTCCCAAACCACTGGTCTTAGTTATCTCTTCATCCAATCAAGTTGACAAAGATTAACTATCACAAGTCCAACCCTTGTCAACTTGACACCCAAACATCTTTACATCACATCTAATCTCCAAATAAACACAACAGCAAGGCCATAATTCCACCCAAAATGACATAACTTTTCTTCATACAACTAAAAATACAGTAGTTCCTTCCCCAGAACAGGAGGGAAAATTTTTTTTCTTGACTAATGCATGCTTTTCTGACACCCCACAACATAAATACTCTAATGTAGATGTACTATCATTTTGAGTACTGAAGTTAAGTCAACCAACATTACATTACAAAATGAGGAATAAAAGGGGACGGTCACATGTCTATTGAATGCATGTGTACATGTGCACAAACATTCTTAACAGAGTGGGAAAGAAATATGCATGACCATTACAGCCCTTGCTTCTGTGACAGGTGGCATGGCCGTGTAAATAGATCACTATCTTCTACCACCCACTCTGTATTTCCTGGGCCCTCGGCAAGCACCTCAGCAGGTCTGGCTTCTTTACCTGGAGGTGTGACCCACGCCTTCGTTCCTGGAGGTCTCCTGCCAGTCATCCTGCCTGCAGAGGGTGGCTGTGGTTTCCCACTGACCTTGGTAAAGGACGTGATAATAGCAGGGGACGCCCCGGGGTCTCCTGTGCTCCAGGAGCGCCCCTCCTGGCCTCCGCTGTGGTAGTAGTCCATCTCCCCTTGGTCATCTGGATCAGTCCCCCACACCCCCGCAGCACCACAACTCCTTTCTTAGCCTGTTGACTCTGGGGCACGAGGAGCCCAAAGTGGCCAGGGAAGTCTCGACTCTCCATTTAATGAAGTCCTGTGGTGCCTCCTGGGAGAAGCATGCCTCCTCCTGGAACTGAGGCTTCTAGGCCAGCAGAGCATACTGTTGCGGGGACAGTAAGCAGATGCTACGGGTCCCTAGGGATAGAGGGGAGTGGTCCCATTCCCATCGCCACCCCTTGATTTCTGGACCCGTGATCCTAGCCACGGGAGAGACGGGACCCTGTAGCAGACGCTGATGCAGAGTATACACAGCCTTCGGGAGAACCTGGCTCCAGCCCTGCAGGACACTCCACCTGGCTGGCACTGTAACTTCATCTTCAAAGGCCAGTCCAGGGGGCTGGAGTTGGGGCTCAGTGATAGAGCGATTGCCTAGCTATGTGTGAGGCACTGCGTTCGATTCTCAGCACTGCATACAAATAAATAAAATAAACGTCCATCAACAACTGAAAAAAAAAAGATTAAAAAAGAAGGCCATTCTATCAAACCCGCTGCTTCAGGATGATGGGGACATGGGAAGACCAGTGAATCCCCTGAGCAGGAGCCATTGCCCCACTTCTTGGGCTGCGAATGGGGTGGGACACCAGGACAGTGGATGAGGCGTTCTGGAAGTCCCTGGATGGTGGCTTGGGCGGAAGCACTACGTGCAGGAAAGGCAAATTCATACCCAGAACGAGCATCCGTCCCAGTAAGGACAGACCACTGCCCCTTCCATGATGGAAGTGGTCCAACACAGTCAACCTGCCACCAGGTTGCTACCAGGAATGATGGCACATCAGGGACTGAGGGTCAGCCTCTGCTGCAGGCAAACTGGGCACTCAGCAGGGGCTGTAGCCAGGTCAGCCTCGGTGAGTGGAAGCCCATGCTGCTGAGCCCAGGCATAACCACCGTCCCTGCCACCGTGACCCCTTTGTTCATGAGCCCATTGGACCATGTCAGGGGTGGCCAGGAAGAGGTTGACTGCTATCCACAGACCCGCCATCCTAACCACTTGATTATTAAAGTCCTTCTCTGCTGAGGCCACCTTATGGTGAGTATTCACATGGGACACAAATATCTTCACATCCTTTGTCCGTTCATAAAGCTCTAAGCACATACCTCTTCCCCAAATGTCATCCATTTTCCAATCATGACCTTTCCAGGTCCCTGACCACTATCCAAATTGCAGCGCGTGAATCAGTACACAGTTGACATCTGATCCTTTTTCCTTCCAAGCAAAATGTACTACCAGGTTCACTGTGCAAAACTGCCCATTGTGAAGATTTCCCTCCACAACTGTCCTTCAGGGTCGTCCCAGAAAGGGACAGTAGTGCTGCAGCTGTCCACTTCCAGGGGGTGCCTTTCTGGAAACCAGACCTAGCCTTCTCTTCCTTTGTCAACTGATCATAAGGGACACCCCAGGAGGCCATAGGCACATGCTGGGGGACAGAGGCATTGTAGCAGGAGTAGGAGCCATGGGCACTGGGCCACGTGGTGCAGCCTGTTCGTGCCTTTGGGACGATCTGGTGCCTGTATGTACCTGCTATGGTTTGGATGTGAGGTGTCGTCCTAAAGCTCATGTGTGAGCAAGGCAAGAACATTCAGAGGTGAGATGATCGGGTTTTGAGCTTTAGCCCCATCAGTGACTCAGTCCCCTGATGGGATAACAGTGGTGACTGGAGGATGTGGGCTGTGGCTGGAGGAGGTGGCATTGGGGGTGGCTCTGGGGTATCTATTTTGGATCTGGAGAGTGGAGTCTCTCTGCTCTCTGATCATCACGTGAGCTGCCCCCCCCCCCTCGACACACACACTCTTCAGCCTTGGTGTCCTGTCTCACCTCAAGCCCTGGGGGATGGAGCCAGCTGTCTATGGACTGAGACCTCTGAAACTGTGAGCCCCTAAATGAACCTTTCCTCCTCTAAAATTGTTCTTGTCCCAGGAGTACAAAAGCTAAGACTGTGCCCCTTTCACTGGATGATGGAGTGCTGCCCTGCCCGTCCAACTCCATGGCTTGGCGGGTCCGATAACCCTGGTTCATGAGGGGCAGCTCAGGTCCCATAGTAACGTGGTGGCCCATGGTCAAGTGCTCAGTTTCCTCTAAGGCCCAGTCTCAGGTCAAGGGCTATTTCTCAAAGGGAGAGTAGTTGTCTGCAGATGATGGCAGGACCTTGCTCCCAGATCCCAACGGTCTCCTCTGTGATTCACCTACGGGGGCTTGCAAAAGGCTCCAGACAGCGTCCCTGTCTGCCACGACACCTCCAGCACAATTGGGTCTGCAGGTTATAGGGCCCGAGGGGCAGAGCAGTCTCAGAACCCCCTCCTGCTCTGGCCACACTGGAAACAAACAGGTTTTGGAATCGCCCAGTAGTGGGGCCAAAGTGACCCACCCAAGTGAGGACCATGCTGCCTCCAAAGTTCAAATAGGCCCACCAGGGGCTGTGCTTCCTGTGTCTGCAGGAGGGGCCAGATGCTGCAACTCTGCCTTAGGAGGGGTGTCGCGCAGGCCCACACATAGGCCTCCTAGAAACCTTACTGAGGTTGAAGACCCTTGAATTCTAGTGGGATTTATTTCCCATCCTCTGATACACAAATGCTTCACTAGCAAGTCCAGAGTGGTGGCTACCTCTTGCTAAGTAGGTCCAACCCATATACGTCATCCACGTAAAGGACCCACATGATACCTCATGGAAGAGAATGGTGATCAAGATCTCTGTGAACTACCAGGAGTGGTAGTGCACACCTGTAATCCCAGCAGCTCAGGAGGCTGAGGCAGGAGGATCCCAAGTTCAAAGCCAGCCTCAGCAAAAGTGAGGTGCTAAACAACTCAGTGAGAACCTGTCTCTAAATAAAATACAAAATAGGGTTGGGGATGTGGCTCGGTGGTGGAGTGCCCCTGAGTTTAATCCCTGGTACCCCCCCTACAAAAAAAGAGATCTCTGTGAACTAAGCTGTGACCAGGGCTGGAGAGCTAACATACCCCTGAGGAAGGACCGTGCAGGTATATTCTGGCCTTGACAGCTGAAAGCAAATTGCTTCTGGTGGTCCTTAGGCACAGGGGTGGAGAAAAAAGCACTCGCCAGATCCGCAGCTGCATACCAGGTATGAGGAGATGGATTCATCTGCTCAAGCAAAGAAACCACAGCTTGTACAGCAGCAGCGATTGGAGACACGCCATTCTCCCGGCTGTCTCC